GTCCAGCATGTACTTTGTGACATCTGCATGTCTACCAGAGGCTTGTTTTTGCTGAAGATCTGCTCCCTGTGCCCGTGACACCAAGGGTCTCAGTTGCTAAGATTGGATGCAAATCCACCCGCGTGACAGAGGACTGCTCTAACTGGCTTTGACTTCCCTGGCATTGCAGACCTGGTATTTCTTCAGCAGTTGTCCTCTTACCTGCCCCTCGCTGCTAATAATGTTTTGTGGCTTGGTATTCGGTGGCTGAATTTCTCTCCTGAAATATTTTAGCTTGCTTCTCCCAGATGCCCAGCTGACTTCCTCAAGTGCCTCATGAATCTCCCATGCAGAGCTCCTGCTCGTGTACAGCATCCCAATGCGCTGATCACAGCAGCCCAGTATCAGCTCTCTGCTGATCAGTGTCACTTGCATGTTTGTAACGCAGCCGTCCACTGTGGTGATGTCAAGATAAATCATTGTTCAGAACCTGTTCGCTGGCAGAAGCCAGGGACCTCAGTGTGACCCCCTTTATTGTATAGGTGAGTACAACAAAGCCCAGGAGGTTAGGTGACTTTCTCACAGTCGCACAGTCAGAAATTACCTGACTAAATTGGAACTAGAATCCAGATTTTCTGGTTTTCACTTCAGTATTCTTTCTAACTCACCAAAAGCTATTTCTTTTCTTTTTTTAATTAAATTTTTAAAGAACTTACAGTGGTAAAATATGCATAATGTAAAATTTACCATCTTTACCATTTTTAAAGTGTACAGTTCAGTAGTATTAAGTATATTCATATTGTTGTACAGCCATAACCATCATCCGTCTCCGGAACGTCTTCCATCTTCCCAGACTGAAGCTCTACCCGTCACACACTCACTCCCCATTCCTCCCTACTCCCTACTCCCTACTCCCTACTCTTTGGTAACCACCATTCCACTTTCTGTCTCTATGAATTTGACTACTGTAGGTACCTCATACAAGTGGAAGCATATAGTATTTGTCCTTTTGTGTGATGGCTTCTTTCACTTAGCGTAATGTCTTCAAGTTTCATGGTAGTGTATGTCAGAATTTCCTTCCTGTTTATAGCTGAATGATACTCAATTGTATGTATGTACCACATTTTGTTTATCCATTCATCTGTCAATTGACATTTGGGTTTCTCCCACCTTTTGGCTGTTGTCAGTAATGCTGCAATGAGCATGGGCGTTCAAATATTTGTTCGCCAAAAGCTATTCCTTATGAAAATATAATTAGAGATACTTGCTGCTACCTGCTGTTGCCACTTGTATTTTTTTTTCCTAATGGTAAGTTTGGAAAATACGAAAAAACACACAGTGAAGAATATAAAAGTTGCTAATTTTATGTGGTATATACTTACAGGATTTTATACTCATGTTGCCCATGATTTTAAAAGTTTTATACAGACTGAGAGAGAATTTTAACAGGTAGGCCAATCTGTGTATTAGGGAGAACACTTGAAATATATTTAAGGGACAGACAGCATAAGAACTGAGTGTGACCTTGGCCAACCATGGCATTTTGGAGATGAGTTTATTCAAAGTATGAGCTTACCTTAACAGTAACACAGAGGGAGCTTTCTGTGGTGGTGCTTCCTTAAGACTATTTTAACATCTTCTTTAAAAAAATTTTTTGTTGGAGTATAGCTGATTTACAATGTTGTGTTAGTTTCAGGTGTACAGCAAAGTGAATCAGTTACATACATCTATCTATCTATCTATATCTCAACTCTTTTTTTAGATTCTTTCCCCATATAGGTCATTACAGAGTATTGAGTAGAGTTCCCTGTGCTATACAGTAGATCCTTATTAGTTATCTATTTTATATATAGTAGTGTGTATATGTCAATCCCAATCTCCCAATTTATCCCTCCCCGCCCCCTTACCCCCTGGTAACCATAAGTTTGTTTTCTACATCTGTAACTCTATTTCTATTTTGTAGATAAGTTCATTTGTAGCTTTTTTTAAGATTCCACATATAAGTCAGACAGAGAAAGACAAATATCATATTTTAACATCTTAATAGAGTATCTTACTGCTAAGAAGAGTCAAATTTTCAATGGGGGTCTTTCCCAGTCACATTTCTTAAATATCCACTAGGGGGCAGTAAAAGACATAAAATTTTTCAACAGGGCCAATGAGTGCCTGGCAATCAGGTCACTGATAGCTGCATCTCTCTCAGCTATCCGTGCATACAGTTACAAGATGATGAATTTCACATCCAAGAGTATGTTTGGGTGAAACTGGCGATACCATCAGCTGTAACCCAATTGCAAGTCTTCCTCACATTCAGGCTAACGCTAATGCGTAAAACTTCATTCAATGTGTTGGGCCCAGATTGTATTTTTATTTAATTCACGTTAGTCCAGCAGTTCTCAAACGGAGTGAACGTCAGAATTACCTGTCATGCTTTTTCCCAAATACGCATGCCCAGGTCTCATCCCAGATCTAGAAAATCAGAATTTCTGGGGCTGGGGCCTAGTTATATAGACTATCTTTAGATTCTGGCCCATGAGGAGGGGTCACCCTTGAGTAAAACCTCAGAGGAAAGTGAATGTGAATTCTGGAATTTTTTTTTCTCTTTTGCAAAAAGAAGTTGCTGAAGGGTCTGGTGGCTTTGGGAACCACATGCAGAACAGCTATGAAGTTTTCCCATAAATGGTGCCTGTAGTAGACCAAGCCAGGAGCCCAGACAGAAGATCTGGAATTGAGGCAGGCCTGGCAAACTCAGGATCTACAGTTACGGTTCCAAGAAGGCCATGCTCCGGGACCAAAGTGTCCAGAGTGAGGCCAGAGCTCAGATACTGTCTGCTATATTAAGAGAATCTTTCCTATGGTATTCAGGGAAAAGAAACCTTTAATTTTACCTTAGCAGAGAAAAAGATGGCACAGAGGACCTGCCGTGAGGTCAGAAAGACTTCGGTTCTCATGCTAACCTTCCCACTAGCCAGTTAGGGAACCCAAGGCAAGTTATGTCACCTCTCTGAGCCTCAGCTTCCCTGTTTGAATTATGAGAGGATTAGATACCATTGATCTCTGAGGATCCTTCCAGTTCTAAAAATTCAATGATTCTGTTAGTATTAATAACCTTGATTTGTATGGCTCTACTCTGGCAAAGAGCAGAAAAAATATTCAGTAATGCAACGAATGACAGAGACTATTGACCATGTAGTTTAATTTATTTAAGGCATATGCACTGAATTCAAAGGAGAAAATATTGCAGCCAGTAATATATTGAACTGTTAGTATCTTCAGCGTAGCAAAAGCTTTCCAGAGGGAAAAATTACCCATTAGTGCAAACTTGACATTTTTTACTTCCTGATCCATAACTGCCATTTCTCCAGTACGTTTATATTTACTGTAAAGGGCCAAATGTATGAATGCTTCGGGTGAATATTAAATAACTACATAAGCATCAAGGTCATTGTCGCAAAGAAGGCTCCGTGGAGGGCCCTGGGAGGCTGGCATTGATCTCCTGTGAAGTTCCATTCTCGAATCCTGCTGACAAGGGGAAACAGTTGGTGTGGACCATTATTAAAGCTTTAAGTGTTTCTCCATTGTTAAAGATCTTTTACAAGCCCGGAGTAACTGATAGTGCCCAAGGAATTGGCAAAAGCTTCACTTAGAAATATAGGCTGGTCAGAGAGATAAGTAAAACCCAGAACACAGTTGTCCTGGGTTGGGCTTACGCAGCAAAGGTGCGAATCCGGTCGAGTCCAGCTCTGGGGCAAGCCGGCACCGCTCTGAGTTAGGGTTCAGAAAGGAAGGAAAGCTTGTTCAGGGGCTCTTTCATACCAGAAGCTGCAGAGAGAGCCGCTCCCTCTTTCAAATTCACCTTTAAATTTCCTCCAGCTTGTCCCCCAGGATAAGCGTCGGGGGCAACTGGGTGTGTGTTAAGTGATGCAGACCCGCACATCCAGACTAACTGCACCGGTCAAGCCCAGGGTAGTTATGTGGGTGTCCTGCTGACCTGGAGCTGGGAGGAGAGCACATCTTAGGATGACAGAATCCAGTTTCAAAAGATCTCAACAGATGAAAGGATTGGCTGAGTCATGATGAACTTAATGAGAGATATAGATGGTAAACTAACAGCTCCCGTGCCGCCCTTCTGTGTAGCGTTGTGTTCCGCCCCGTGCACATTTCAGTCGATTTCCCCTTTACGATGACCCAGGGAGGAAAGATTTTTATATCCCCATTTTTAAAACGAGGAAACTGAGACATGGAAGTACAGAGGAGGGTGCAAGCACTTCAGAGCCCTCGGTCTAGATTCCAATCCCAGTTCTGCCCCTCAGTCTACCGGCAAGTTACTTCATCTTTAAAAAATAGCACTAGCCAGGCTTTATGGCTGCCTTTCGTGTGTCAGGTTCTGTGGGCTTCGCCCTTTGCATTTATTATCTCATTTAATCCTCAGAACAATCTTTCTCCCATTTTACAGATGAGGAAGGCACAGATAAGTAACTTGCCCAAGGTCACATAGTAAGTAGCAGGGCCAGGATATGAGCCCAGGCAGTCTGACTCCCAGGCCTGTGCTCTTCACAAGTACGGTACCGTCTCGGTTTCCTGTACCATGAAAAGGGAACAACCGTATGTTCTGTGAGGGTTAGATGAAGTAACTTATGTAAAGTGCCTCATGTAGTCGCCACACATGGTCGGCATCATAGATAGCGCTAGCCTATCATCATCACCATCACTATACCGTCATCGGTTAGATGACTCGCTCAGGGTTAGAGCTAATAACCGGCAAAGATCTGGCATTCAAACCCAGGTCCTGTGACTGCAAATCCGCTGGACTGTGGGGGACAAGATCGGGGGCAGTTTTTAGGTCACTGTCTCAGCGCCTAGTACAGTTTCTACCTCCCTGGTAGGTGTTGAGTGAGTCCTCACATAGGTGGGGCCTGTATTTTTCACTCATTCACCAAACATTTGACGAGGTCCTGCTGTGTCTCGAGGGACCAGAGAGGACAAGAATACAGTGCTAACCATCCTTTTTCTCCCCCCAGGTTCGAATGGTGAAAGATGGGGACCCCTCCTGGAAGCCCACTTTTATTGTGAAACCTGATGGTGGTTGTCAGGGTGATGGAATCTACCTCATTAAAGACCCCAGTGACATCCGCCTGACAGGGACCCTCCAGAGCAGGCCGGCTGTGGTCCAGGAGTACATCTGCAAACCTCTCCTTATCGACAAGCTCAAGTTTGATATCCGACTGTATGTCCTACTAAAGTCCTTAGAGCCCTTAGAGATTTATATAGCCAAAGACGGACTCTCGCGGTTTTGTACAGAGCCCTATCAGGAGCCTCACCCCAGAAACCTGCACCACATCTTTATGCATCTGACCAACTATTCACTGAACATCCATAGCGGTAACTTTGTCCATTCGGACAGTACGAGCACAGGCAGCAAAAGGACTTTCTCTAGCATTCTTTGTAGGTTGTCTTCCAAGGGTGTTGACATCAAGAAGGTCTGGTCTGATATCATCTCCTTGGTGATTAAGACTGTCATTGCCCTGACTCCAGAGCTCAGAGTGTTCTACCAGTCGGATATCCCCGCAGGGAGGCCGGGGCCCACGTGCTTCCAGGTAACCATCGCCAGTTCCCAGCCTGAATTCTTGACTTTGATGGGGCCTTTGGAGGGCTCCCTGGTCTCGTGTGGGATGAGGGATGGGGTGGGACGGCCAGAGGGATGGAGGGGTTGTTGCTGCCGTGGGCTTTGGTGTGAAACCAGGGTCCAACTTCCTGCTTTCTATTTGCTGGCTGTGTAATTTGGAGCAAGTTACTTCCATTTTCCTACCTGTAAAATGGAACCAGGAGTACCTCCCTTAAAGGACGCTTGTAAGAGTCAAATGAGATGTCTGGAAAACGCAGTGCCTCCCGTTCATTTGTTCATTCTTCCTTCTAGCAATTTTTACCACCTGCTTAGTAGGGGCCAGGCACTGTTCAAGGCAGTAAGTCACCTCCCTGCTGGCTGATGCAGAGAGTCTGCTATCGTGGGAGACAAATAAGTTAAAAAGCAATTAGTATAAAGTGTCACAAGTGCTAGAATAGAGAAGGAAGTGTACCAGGCGCTGTGAGATTGGGGGACCGTCTAACATTTTCTGAGCGGGAAGGAGGGTGGCTGGGAAGACTTCCCAGAAGTAGCAGCAGTTAAGAACCTGGAGTAAGAGTTAGATGGAGGCAGCCGAGGCTGGATAGGGCTGGGGAGACGAAGCGTCCTAGGGGAGAGATGTTTGCAGCCCTAGAGGTGAGTATGGCTGGAGGGTGGGGTTTGAGGCAGAGATATAGAGGGAGATGAGGAAGATAAGGTGGAAGAGATAGGTAGGAGGTATGTCCTGGAAAGCTATGGGCAGTAGGGGCCACAGGAGGGTGCTAGCCCGGCACCGATGCACTCAGTTTTGCGTGTTGCAAAGAACAAACTGGCCGCAGGGTGGAGAATGGATTGTGGGGAGACTGGGAGCCGGGTGGAGCGGGGAACTGGTGAGCCGACTGCTTTCCTACCAGCAAGAGAGGATGCTGGCTTGGATTGGGAAGGGCTTCGTGGAGTTGGAGAGAATAGATTTGAGAGCCATTGAAGAGGTAGAATGGCCAGACTTGGTGATTGGCTGGGGCTGGGGGACAGTGGAGAGATGGTGGCAGGGGGTGCGTGGGGAGAGCCCAGACCAACTCCCAGGCTTAGGCGCTTGGGTGGATGGAGAGAAGCCACCGAGATTGGGAACATCAGCGTTCGGATGGTCACTGAGCCCTGAGCGGCTACAGGGTGAGAAGAGGCCAGGAAGACCCCCGTGAGCACTGCCATTCAAGTAAGGGACGGGCAGCGGGGAGGGGGGCAGCAAAGGAGGCCAGGAAGAAGTGGCTTGAGCCACAGAAGGGATGTCAGGAGAGGAAGCAGCCTAAAGGCTTGGAGTAGAGGCGCGCGGGGGTCAGCCATGGCAAACGCTGCTGAGATGTCGCATCAGACCCGAATGGAAAGTGTCCATTGCACTTACTGACCCGTGGGGTGATGGGACAGGGTGGTGGTAGAGGACGAAGCCAGCGTGCGGCCGGGGAGGACATGGGAACGGGGGTGGCGCATTCTTCCAGATCCTTTGGCCATGAAGGTGGTGGCGGGGGACTCGGAGTCCAGGCGCTTGGTAGGCACACAGTTTCCTGCCACCAGATAAATCGGAGTAGGGAACAGACGGTACGAAGGAACACCTCTGGGACCCTCTCCATCCAATCTTTAAAGTTATTTTGTAGCAGTTAGTATATAAGAAAGAATACATGGAACATGTATGTAAGCTACAAAGCAAAACCACCAAATCATCATCCCCAGCCCACCTCCCAACCCAAGATCCCCAATTACTGTGATTCTCCCCCATGCCATTTCTCACCCCGAGGTAATCACGGTCCCGAATTTTAGGTTTATCATTTCCTTGCTTAAAAAAATCCTTTTATTATACGTGAATGTATCCCTAAGCAGTATATTGTTTTGCTTTGCTTGTTTTTGAGCTTTATAAAAATACTACGGTCGAGTCTGTAGTCTTCTTTTCCGCTCTGTGTTGAGGTGGGTCGTTGGTGCTGTTTCATCTGCACTGCTGGGTCTTCCATTGTAAATACGCACACTGTGTTCATCAGTTCTTCTGTCAATGAACATTTGAGTTGTTTCTGGTCCTTTACCTAAGACTGTGGCAGGAGAGAAACGGGTAACGTGGAAGGGAGGGGAGGCAGTGGGGCAGCGTCTCTGATGGGTGGGGTGTTCCTTCAGCAGCAGAAGAGGAGGCTGGTCCCAAGGTGCGGCCCCAGATCCAGAGAGGTGACCCGGGCGGCTGGACACCCGTCAGCGGGATTTTCAGGCAGGCTGCAGAAGCCTTTGCAGGGGGAATTCAGGCAGTGATCAGTTCCAGGAAGGGCTAACTGTCATCCAGAGGTCTGTCCTTAGGCACTTGGCTCCAGGTTCTTGTTCCCAGGCAGGGTGTCTAGCTCAGCCATCAGGTAGGTGGCTTAGGGCCTTAGAAAGGGGAAGTGGGCAGAGCTTAGAGGCAGGACCAGAGAAAACAAGTCCTGGCTTGAGCCATCAGAAGGTTAGGGCGAAGGAGAGAGTTGCAACTTGGAGGCATCCAGGGGTCATCCCAGGGGACTGTGTGGTCACATCTGTTCAACAGTGACAGCTATTCCAGGAGTATCACGTGGGCCGGCATGCGTGGCCAAGCCACAGAGCCCTGGCACAGCGAGGGTGCAGGGTGGAGGGCCAGGGCGGTGGTTTTGCTGCTCGTCTTGCTGTGGACAGGCGGCATGCGGCAGCCATGGGGTGGAACCAGGGGCCCAACTGGAGGGCAGACAGGGAGGGAGCCACTGGTTTGGACAGATCACATCTAGCAAATGGAACCACAGCCCTGTGACCGTTTTCCACTGCTTGACCACACTAAGTGCTGCCAGGCCTGGGGTCAGGAGAGGAGCACAGGGCCGGAAGTAACCCTCCAGGGGGATCTCGTCCTCTTCCCAGCAGTGGGACCTTGGGCACGTTTCTTCACCACCCTGAGCCTCTGTTTCTTTCTCTGTGAATCCCCTACACTCACTTCCCTACCTGCCTTCTTTGGAGGACTGTGAAGTAATGAAGGCGAAGGTATAAAGCATTAGATGTTTAAAATCTGTTTTATCGTATATTTCAGATTCATAGTGATTGAGAAAGTAGTATCTTTTTCTCCTTGGACTCCTCTCTTGCTTTCTTTAGTCTTATCACTTGTTAAAACACTTGGTAGTTTGGGTCTCAAGCACCTGAACTAACTTGGAACCCAAAGATTTAGGGACAACGTATGGTCTGCCATTGCCTTGCTGTGTGATTTTATATTAGTCACTTAACTTCTCTGTGCCTCAGTTTCCTCACCTACCTCACAGAGTTGTTGTGTGACTCACACAAGATAAAGACGATGAAGTGCTCTGTGAACTCTAATGTTCTGTGCATACATAATGAATTATTTCTTTGTCATGGACGCCCGTTTTGCTTGTAGCCTGGGCCTGGCCCGTATTGTAGCATTCCCGGACATACACTCAAAGCCCAGAAAATTACATTTATCTTAAACATGTGACCGTGACCCCTTTCCAATCACGGCCGCAATAACTACTTGGGAAATCGTGATGGCCCAGAGCAGGGGCTGGCACAGCCAGGCTGTGGGCAGGTTTCCTGTAATCTGTTGCCTAGGAACGTGGCTGCCCTGTCATTCTGGCCTGTCCCCCTGTCATTGCCCAGGCAGCCCCAGCAAGCTATCCCCCCGTCAGTCTTCTTGAGGGCAGCTCTGTGACCCTGGCTTAAAGAGCCAGGTCCGTCTGGGTGTAGATGATTCATGTGGCAGAAATGCACACGCAGAAGAAAGGTTTCTAGCTCAGCTTTCGTGGACATTCTTTCCCAATCTCATCGCTTGGTTTCTATCTTCCTCTAGCTCCGGGTCCACGTCTCTCCTTGGCCGCGATCCTTTCCCTTCAGCGTCGGGAGGAGGCGCCTTCCCTAAAGGCTGAGGTGCTTCTCCTTTTCCTTCTTTGCTCTCTTGGTCTCCTCCCTCCCCGTCAGCCCCAGACACCCCACGGGAAGGAGGCAAAGGAGCAGCCTAGGGCTCACGCTCTGGCTCGGGTTTTGTTCTCGGATGTCCCGGGCTTGAGCTAACCCCAGCTCCTCCTTCCAGCAACTCTAGCTGGAGAGCTTGGCAAGTTAACCTCTCTCTGCCTCAGTTTCCTTATCTGCAAATAGAGATAATATTGTATTTGGACGGGCCTCACAGTTGTTGTGAGACTGAATGAGAGAAAGTGCGGAATTCCAGCAGGTAGGAATCCCTCAATGAATGATATTACGGGGAAACCATGAAATATTCACATTTCCAACTTAATGGAGCGCCGGTATTCCAAGGACCACAGTTTGAGAAACAAGTCCTGGCACTTGTTGCCTCCCAGCCTGGCCCCAGCCTCGCTTCCCCGTCCTCCCTGGGCCCCGCGAACAAAGCTGATTCCGGCCTCCTGGACGTCATTGGTGTTTCCCCCAGTTCTGCCTGTTTGTTCTGTCTTGGCTGCCATGCGCTCTCCTCGCTCCGTTTTGAAATGCAGTGCTGACAAGGTGGCGCTCAAATCCCACCTTCTCTGTAAAGCCTCCTTGACCACTTCTGACTTTTGAGCTTTTTTCTTCTTCTAGACACATTTGCTGGTCACCCACTGAGACAAGCCCTGAGCTAGCTGTGGGACATGTGGTTCTGGATAAGATGCAGTCTGTCCCTAAGAGGTGCACAGTGTAGTGGGGAGACTGCCACGTGGGAGTAATAAGTGCTATGAGGGGGCATGTACAGGATGCAGGGAGAGCACAGAAAAGGGAGCAGTTAACTTTGCCAGTTAACCCAGTCAAGGAAGGCTTCCCAGAGAGGAGATGCTCAAGCTAGAGCTTAAGGCATATGGAGAAGAATTTGCCAAGCAGAAAAAAGTGAGTGACACCACACCCTCCTGGTTTCCCTCGTGTCTCATGGGCTGCTGCTCCTCAGCCCCTTCTGCTGAGCCTGCCAGTGATGGCGATCCCAGCTGCTCTCCTCTTGTCTACAACCGCTCTCTAAACGATCTCTTCTAGCCC